AAAGTGTGTGCAAACCCATCACCACTAACATCGTAAATATTTATCTTTCAAAATATGGCAGCATTAAACATGTAGCACTCGATCTTGCCTTTTAGGAATACTGTCTAAGTAAATTGATCCATGAATAGAATTTCATAGTATCTGTGATTGTGGAAGTCCAACAGCAGACTGAAAGAGGTGACATTCGGATAGTGAAGGGCAGTGTCCCGAGTTCCTGGCGCCCCTGTGTCTCTGGTGCTGATGGTTACAGTGGGTAGGCCTTGCTGATCTCCAAGTTGGCACATGAATTTCACCTTCTGAGGAATTCAAATGCACGATCTCGTAAGATCACCTAGTGGGTTTCTTCTGTCCCTGCGATGGTGAAGTAAGTTTTTTTTTTCATTCCTTTGCTGGCACGAGAGAAGCGAGAAGCTTCCAGTTCTGCCAGATGTGAAGGAGGGTTGAGACTGTATGTGCTGATGTAGGAAGTGCAAGGTGAAGAGCTGTCGTCTTTCCTTGTAAGATTGTGCTGAAACAGCGTTTAAACTCTTGAGATTTAACAGCTTAATTTTATTTGGACAGAATTGCCTTACTTGATGTCTCTTCTGGGTTATTTTTGTAATCTCTCCTGTGGACTGTTTGTACCCTGGGCTGAAGAGAAAAGAGGAAAGCAGTTTATTCAGAGGCTGTTCAGGTGCATTTGGAGTAGCATCGAGTAGTTTTTGAGTGGCTATATATAATCCATGTAATAAAATTCTCCTTGAGATTTTTTTTTTCCTAAACATTTCCCTAAAATGTGCAGAGCTTCTGAAAAAGATTCAATTAACATCTTCACAAAACGTCATGATAATGGAGAAGTAAATGCAACTCATCGTTACTTTTGGCCTTCCATTTTAAAAACTTTTGTTAATGGATTTAAAACGTTGAAATTGGGCTACAGGGTGTTAGAGGCAACATTTATTTTGCTGTCACTGTTGTTATTTAGCAAAGTTACATAGACATGTGCTAGGATATGCCCTCCTTCCTTTGTTTGTAGTCTGTTACATTCAGGTTATGAAGGATTTGGACCTGTCACACTGCCTTGTGCTCCTGGGGAGATAATGACCTATGAGTAACCATGTATTTATAAGGGACCAGGCCAAATTATTTTGAATGTATGTTTAAAAAGTGCAAAAGGGTGAAATTCTGTGAATAATGTGTGTCACTCAGCATCTTACAGAAGTCAGAGCAGTCATGTCTTTCTAGTCCCCTGGCTCCCTTGTTCAAACACCTTTTAAAAGTATAGCTTGTAAACATAATATTTTTCCAAAATCTGATTTTGGTGAGGCATTAAAGATCTTGGACAACTTTGTTTTATTTCCAAATTATTTTTCCATTCTATTTCCTAATTCCATGAAAGCAAGAAATCAAATATTAGGGAAGAATACAAGGCTAATGCAGCTGAAGTTGAGGATTTCGGTGTATGAGCGGGAGACTTCCTATGAAATAATGTTACTGTTTTGACCACTGGAATGTGTACATCAAGAAAAGTAGACAAATCAGGCTTTTTGTCTTGATCATGTTTTAACAGTCTCTATTCTATTCTTTTTCTGTGTCTTTAGGTAATATGGCAGTAAGTCTCTGCTTGTATTTAAAATCTCTAACATTTTGGGGGAGTTCAGACATTCTAAGTAATATATGGAGTCACATTAGCTGAGAGTTTGCATGATGAATGCCATAGATTAAAGAAAGGATGATGCATTCCATGGGAAGTAGACATTCTCAGCTGCTGTTTGGAGTCTTCATTAAATTACTGGAGATGGTATGCCTTCCTAATATTATGCACTCAATTTTAAAACTGTTTGAGGCACGATGCCACAGAAGGAACATAATGTATTAGTAGTGAATTAAAATTCAAATTGTCCTTAATTCATACCCTGTGTGTCATACCTCTCATAGTGCTGTTCTGTTGCTAATGTTGCATAACTGTTGCTTGAAACTAAAGCTGTATTTTAAATTCTATAGTAATCCCTTTCTGGGGTAATTTCTTTTCAAACAAAAGATGAAAAGGATTCTTAACTTAAATGTTTGTTAGTAAGGATAAAACATGAGGTTTACATAGAAGGCTAATGCTCTAATTACAGGTGTCAACTGTTATTTTTTTTTGTCTTACGTTCTGCAGCAATATGTTCCTTGAGGGCGGAGTGTATGTCAGTGTTTTCAAAATTAAACCCAGCATTTTTTATTTATATGTATTCACAAAAAAATCTTACAAACTTTAATTAAAAGATATAAAGGCAGGTGAAAGGAGTATTAAAAAACAGACACCATACTATTAATTCTTTCCTTTCTCTTGCCTGCATCAGTGAATCTTTCCAGAAAAACTTCACACCAAATGCTTTAAGAGTAGCATTCAAAAATTTCCAAGACAGTTTTGTTAGGAAACACCCTTGTGTTACCCATGTCAGCCCTTTACATAGTGATAAACAAACCAGTCTAGGGTCACTCTTAAATTGTTACCCCAGAAAGGGTTGATCTCTGGGGTGAGAATAGGCAAGTCTCGTTATGGAAAGGAGGATGTTCATGTTCTGCAGGACAGGGCAGTGGAAGGCAAGAGGGGTGTCCGAAAAAAATCCTGTATGCTTTCTTCTTACACCTTACTTCTTACTTTGAAAGGTTCCCCTTCAAAGATGGATCTTAAAAGTTGTGCTATATTAATACTTCAGACAGTGTAATGGTTTTAAACATGGTAGTCCCTGATCCCTTGGCTGGCTTTTATTACACCAATTCATTCATCTGAGCTCAGTAAAATAAAATCTTCTGTAAAACCATAAAAAAAGGCAAGGCTGGAGATGAGAGATTTCATATGACAATAGTAGAGCCTGTGGCCTCCCCAGCAAGATATTCCTGGTGAATGAATCATTGTGGTTGCTTTTCAGAGAACTGCTAACAGGCTTCTCAATTTTTTTACAAATATTTTGCTAAAAAGTAGGGGAACAATTGGTGGATTTGTATTACTGCTGTAGCTGAAGGTCTACAATCAGACACTTATTTTCTGGTCTAGGGAGCAGCACAGCAGAAGGAATAAAGCATCGAGAATGTGGTTTTAAAGTAGCAAAGTAGGCTGAACAAGTGACAAATATGGGGAAAAAATATTTTGCTTATGATTGAATTTTTCATCTGAAATTCATAGCATTTTTGTGAAAAGCTGTTTTATCTTTCAAGTGATACCATAGAAATAGCTTTATCAGTTGGCATGCTTTGCAAGCTTTATGTACATGAATTAAATCAGAAAACAGAGGGATATATGGCTGCTTTCCCTGAAGATTTTATATTTACTTCAGTGTGGTGAATAATTACATTTGGCCATAATGGTTTAATAAGCAAGCATAATATTGAAGACAGGTAGTGCCTGATCCTGCTGCTTCAATTCTCAGAAATGAAACGTGATTCCACAGAAGGTCTTCCAGATATTTCTTCAATTTTACTTGGACTTACTGATCTTTTCTGGGATCTCGGTGCATGTTGGGCTTTTGTCACCACCTCAGAGCTGAAATGTGTTACGAGAGCTGCTCTCACTTAGAAGAGCTCTGGCTATCCGAGTTATCCAGCAAATAAAATATTCATGTTGGGAGCCCAGTTTTGGCTGACGTTCCTGGTGTCACTGTTTTTTTCCAAAGTGGGGAAAAAGGCTGAGGATAGATGATATCATGATCCTCTGTTGGCAGGTTGTTCCTTCAGCATTGCTTTTATATGGTTAGGGTAGAGGATAAGCACTATGTACTTCTCAAACCCTCAGATAGGACCATGGCTGTTAGTGATAGTCACAAATACTTGTTAGTATATTTTAATAATATATAGACCAGGTTACATTAGAGTGAATTGGCACAGTAGTTTGGGTTCTAGTAAAAGGTGCTTTGTTGGGATGAAGCTCCATCGAATAAGTTTCCTGTGTTTAGGAACTGCATACATCTCTAGGTTTGATTCTTAAAGGATTTAGTAGCATCAAACCTTATATGAGTTTCTGTGTGTGATTTTTAATATACAGGAGGAACAGACCTGTGCAGAGAACACTTAAATTTGCATGGTTATTTTTTTGAGCAGAATTGTTAAGAGTACTTTCTGTGCAGTGTATGGATTTTTCTAGGAGATACTGAAAATATCTCTTGTTTTAAAATAGTATTGTGGAGTATAAAATGTTGGCTGCATGTGGGGTTACTTGGAGGGTATGTCATATTTTGCAGGAATGTCCTATACATGCTGTTAGGAGAGCTAAACCTGTGGTCTTCTGTGCTAATTTGGGAATGTGAAGATAATTCTCTTCTAATTTGATGAACCTTTATAGCACTTCCAATGTGTTTACAATGAGGAGAAGAAAAAAGCAACAAACCCACCCCTCTTTGTGTAATATAAACATGTTAAATAATGAAATATACTTAACTCACCAGTATTATAGATAGCATACATGTAGTCTTAGCTTTTCCTAGATATCAGCTCTGTCTAGAATTCTTTATCTCTTTTAGTTGTTACTTGGTTTTATTCTATATATACTCTTTATTGCATTTACTTCCTAGTTTGTTAGCCATTTTTTGTCTTGTGTTTTGCCTCTCCCTTCCCCCTCTGTCTCTATTTACACTACTAGGATTTCCCCCTTGCCCTCTGAGGAGAAGGCAGGACTAAATTAGGGGTTTGGACTAGTGTATCTGCACATGCTACTCTTTGCAAAACAGGGGTAGTGGAAATAAATATTCTGTTACTGTCTCTGTGTGTTAGCAGTGTGTATGTATCCTTTGTAGAATTGGTTACTGACTTGCGGTTCTCCTTTCTTAGTGGTAAGGTGGAATACATAGGTGTAGACATAAAAGTCAGGGTGTGTTTTAGGTAAAAAATATAAATCTGTGCACAGTTTTCTCCTTTGTCATACTTTGTATGTAATGGATATATCATAAATGTTAGTATTGGTACTCAGGAATAAGCCTCAAAGTCGCAGTTGCAACCGAAGGCTTGACCTGTACAAACATATGCCTTATTTTTGTTCATAGGTGTAAAACGAAGGTGTATGCAGACAACCTTCCCACGACAAGCGTTGTCATTGTTTTTCACAATGAGGCTTGGAGCACACTTCTACGGACTGTTCATAGTGTGATAAACCGATCACCGCGGCACATGCTGGAAGAAATCGTCCTCGTCGATGATGCCAGCGAAAGAGGTAATGATAATGTCGATGCCTTTAGTGTCCTGCTCTTTTTATGTGAAGAGCTGAGGCTGACTTTCTACGGGCTTACCTGTCCTCAGCAAAACACAGTCGCTGGGGCAGGGGAAGGTAGAGTGAGCGATGCCCATTTTGAAACACAGGTGGGCCATTCTTCACTGAAAACTAGTTTATCTGTTTGCTTTTCTGTTGGCAGCGCAGAGTTTGTGTTTGCTATTGGGTTTATTGCATTACAGCCTTAATGTTTTCCGTGTAGAATTTGAACACATTTCTAAATCTTGGGGGCGTTTAATATTTGAATCACCCAGTGAATAATAGCAACAGCAATCCTGCTTCTCTCACACATCCAAATGTACTGTCAGTACCACCATTAAACTTGGTGCTCAGAAGGATTCATTTTGATCATTCAGTTGCTGAGAAGTTGAAATTCAGTGTCTGTGTTGTAAAAGATCGACTTTTTCATAACTTCTGCTCCAGATGAAAACTCCAAGCTACAGAATGAAACTTTCCATGCACAGTGAAATTAATAGACAGAACTTGAAGCTGACTTTTTCTGAAAATAAAATAAATCTGGATTTTAGTGTTTTCTTTTTTGTTTTCTTTTTTTGTTGTTGTTGTAAATTAAAATATAGTAGAAATAAAAATAATATTCTGGACAACACTTTATATTTAATTTTGGTTAATAGTTGGTATTTGGCTTGTTCCTTGTTTAATCTCCCTCAGTGGTATACGTTATAAAATACAACTTGCAGGATAATTTTTTTTCTTGTATTTGTAGATGGAGATGAGAGAATATAATGATGGCTTTTTTTTTAATCTAAAACCTATCTATATATTGAATCACTCTTTTCTGTATTTCTACATTAAAAGTTTTCTACTAGGACAAACTGCTAGTAGGCCACTAGGAAAAGGTTGTGGCAGCCACCAGTTGTATGCTGTTATCTCTATCATCAGGAATTCCCATGCTTTAGTCATAGAAGGGTTTGACACTGAGTGTGCTGGCATCTCTGCCTGCTGCTTCTGATTCTAGTGCTGCAAAATCCATATTCTGCTGCTTGTGGTAATTCCAACTTCAGAGTAAGATGGGTGACTGTTGTCCAAACAACAAGAAGATCCGTCCAAACAAGATCTGTGTACGAAGGCAGACGCTGGATTTAAGATCATATGGTCTAAGTAGCACTATGATGCCTGGATAACAATGGTTAACAGGAGGTTTTATGACAGTAACCATTACAGTGGTTAAGAGGAGTTTTTGTAGCGGAAGAACTTTAGGAGTGGATTTTTGTGCTTCATACCTAATGTAGTAGAAAGTATAATGAGTTTTTTCTTCAGGTTCCGTGTGTGTATGATGCCTTAGCTTATTAACTGACCTATTCAGGTCTTTCTAGGCCTGGAGCACAGCTGGTTGTGGAGTAGCTGAGTAGCCTAAAGAAAGATCATACCCCCTAACTCAGCTCTGACCCATGTGTCTTCCTGAGGAAGCAGAGCTCAGGCGCTCGGGTTGTGTTTGCACTTGTATTGGTCTGTGTTCCTTTTCTCTCATGGGCACCCTTGCTTGCTTTGGCTTTCCTACCTGATACCAGCTTTAACTGTTTCAGCCAATTTCAGTGCAATTGGAAGAAGGGACAGAGGCCTTAAATACAATTAGGCTCTGGCAGCAGAGGAGGAATGACCATGCAAAGGGCAAGGCTACCACATAAATGTGTTCCAGATTAGATGAGAGGTGTGATTAACTTTTGCTTTTAGAAAGGCACCAGGTCAAATTTTCACTGTTTTGACTCATGGGGAATTTGTAATTACACTCCACAATTTTTTGTTCTTTTTCAACCTTTATGTAAAAAAAATTCCAGATTATTTTTTTTTGTTCCAACACGTGCGAAGCTGCTCACCTGTCTTAGCGTTGTTCCCAGGGAACAATCCTCTTTGTAACATGGATGCTGACATTTGGATTCTCAGGGCCTATACCAGTTTATTGAACAGGTATATGCTTCCTTAATGGAACAGAGATAATATGCTTGTTTTGGTTAGTTAGGTTCTGGGCACAGGCTCTTGCTAGGAAAACAAGGTTTATTGCAAGTGCACTCTGTTTCATTTGTCAAAACAGTCCTTGACACTAATTCAAATGAATGGTAACAATTAATTGTGACAGGTCAGCTTTCAATATGACCTAGAAATAAAGAGCAAGCCAATATGAAAATAATGTAGACATAGAATTTCTTGTTTTGCTCCTTCAATCTGTTTTAGGAAAAAAACCACCAAAACAATTTTAACATAGCGATAGCCATGTCCTCATTATAAAGTAGAATTACAGTCCAGTTAAAAAAAAAAAAACGTGCCTTTCTCTAGATAACTATTCTGTTTCCAGGTTTGGGTTAGGTAATAAAAGGAAGAGAACTTAATTCCAGGCTGAAAGATACAGCTATTCAGACTTCTTGTGGTGTGATTGAATCTGTTCTGATACCTTAGTTTTGAAATCTGTGGGCTTTGTTTCAGATCACTCAGACATCCTTTATTTGTAGTTATTTTCAACAACTACTGAAAGGTTTTTTTGTTTTGTTATTAAAAAACTTGTTACGGTTCCAGCAAGCATGCTTTTACATTAAACAAAACGGAAGGGTATGATGACTGAAAATTTGAAAGGATTAGCATATGCTACTTAAGCATTCTGTTTGTGTTGAACTAAGCCAGCAGACTTTTCCAGAAAAAGGAAATGTTCAGCCTGAGTAGGGCATTTTGAATTCTAACATCAGAGTCAATTTAATTGGAATAAAGTAAGCATTCAGCCTGCCTGAAGCACACTTTGTACCTGCTAGTGTCATGCTCTGAGAAGAATGAATTTGCATAACATCACGTACTTATTTACACCAAAAAGAAAAGCTTTGGAGAAAGAAGACATGTCTGTAACATTGTTCTCTTATTACTGATCAGAATTCTATTATTTAAGTATTGATCTTGGGTAACTATTTAAAAAAAAAAAAACCACCCCCAAAAAAACAGAACCAAAATTAACAGGAAAAATCAAGATTAGTCAGTACTTAAAATTAGGTCAGCACTGAATGGCCAAGCATGGTAGGCAGATCATTTCAGTGTGTTCCATCCTGATGAAAGTTAGTTGTACAGATACAGATAAAAGCAATGCAACCAAAACTAATTTCCTGCCACTACTGTCTTATAAAAGTATTCATGCTTCTTAAAACTGTGTTTGACTGCTTATATGTTATACATCGGTGTTTTATTGTAGTTTAATTAAAAAAAAGTTTGAAACTTATTTTTTAATTTGTATTTATATAAAAATGGCTCAGTAACAGGATTGGCAAAGTATTTTCAACTTATGCACTTACTTGACCTGAACGGAATACATTTGCTTTCTTGGCTTCCACGTTCTGCTACTGCCACAGAAGTTGCTCTTCCTAGGTATAGTCCTAGGTATAATTATGCACCCTTTTCGTACAAAAAAAGTTTGAAAGGAATATGTGGCAGAAAAACTTAAATAAAACTAAACTTACATCTCTGAAAATACATGAATTATTGTTGTTCCCAAGTAGAAGTGTTTCTGTTTGGTTTTTTTAATATTATCAAACCCTCAATCTCTGATTGAAGTGTATGAGGCAATGCTAAAAGTTTACTCAGGTGTCATCTGGGTCAGTCGTAAACAACTGACTCTCTAACGCATAAAACTTCTCATTTAGGTGTTTAATGTAGGATTGAGTATAAATATGACCGATAGGTTTGTATATAAAATCATCTCTACAGCTTGATTCTGGCATTTCTTGTAGGCCAAAATGTATTGCATGCAATAAAAGACTATTTGAATACTCTTTTCTTTTCTTTTTTTTAAGAGAAAAGCAAGTCTCACCTTACAAGAATCTGTTAATGGTTTCTGGATGGATGACTAGTCCAAAACTCTAGACTCTTGCTACTTGAGCTAAGGGAGCAGTTTGCGAGGGATACTATTACTCTAAGAGACAGTTCTCTGAAGCGAAAATACACTGCTTAGCATTTCACCCTCGCTGCTGGTAGCAGAGGAACACCAGAAATTCGATGATGGAGTTCTTTTCCTTGCTTTTGTAGGAATGAGACATTAAATGTTACCTTTTTGCTTATTTTGCTGAAATCCAAGTAATATTTTAAAGGAACAGTTACTGAATGTCTGGCACACTTTTTTATTTCTGGGAATACTCCCTCCTGAAGTTTTGAACAAGGTGGTAGTTGATGAGAATGTTTTTATGGACATGGTTAAACATGGGAAAAGGACTGTTCTTAACTGTTCCCTCCATAGCCAAGACTTGCACACATCTCTGTTTCTTAGAGGAAAAAGAAGTACTTAAAGATAAATTGAAGTTTGAAATACTTTTCAGATAGGATTTTTATGTACAATATATTGACTGTGAGTTTCTGTAATGTAACTTTGTTTTACGCTGGCTCGTGACTGGCTGCAGTTGTGCTATTGAAATCTTTTTCTCTTCCTCCTGGCAGAATTTTACCGTTCTGTTAGTGTAACTGTGCATTCAAGGATCAGTGTCACAGCCCATGTTCAAGCAGCTCGAAGTGGTTAGAGCTATTTTAAAAGCTTATCAGCACTACACCTCAAATGTGCAGAGGAACATGTCGATTTGTGTAACTTCCTCGTGAGATGGTTAGCATAGAGAAACGCTTCACACTTCTATTCATGGAAGCCATGTACGTTAAAACTATAAACATTGCCATATACTAATTCTTTTAAATTAGTGGCTTTGGAAAGCAACACTGTAAAGAAAGGAGATTATATTTCCTACAGACTCATTCAGCCACATGATCTCTGTACTCAACCCCAAAAGACCTGCAAAATGTTCAGACGTGTACACTTGGTTTGTATTAATACAGATTTATTCATTTGAGTCTCTGTTAATATGCAAAATAAGAATTAACTCTCTTTGAGTTTCTCTGGAGACAAATATTTCGGATCTATCAAGCTCGTAGGCTCTTTCAGCACAGTTCAGCTTTCAAGATGTGTCAGAACTTATTTCTGTGGGGTTTAGTGACAGTCCAACAATGCACGGGAAATAAAAGAGGAGGCAATTAGAACTCATTCATCCGGAGCAGTGGTAAGGAACAGTAATCACCCGCAGGTCAGCTCTCCCTCTTCAGGTTTACAAAACAACCACTAAGAGTTCATGCCGTGCTTCCCCCCCCCCCCCGGCGCCCCCCCCACGCCCCCCCCCCTCCTTT